CTCTAGCGTGCGCTAGTCTAATGCGTAGCCTCGAGCAATCAATATATCCTAAGTTCTAGCACGTATCACGAAGGCAACAGGTGGATCAGTGAAATGCAAAACGGTAGATCGAAGTGTTTAGAGCGCCGTTTTCCCACGCCAGCGCCTTAGCACGTGTCGTCATGGACATAAGTTGGTGACGTCACAAACGCGTGTTATTGGCGTCACGTGCCGACGTCAGTGTATAAACAGTCTCAGTGCGCATGCTCAGCAAGTCGGTAACGGCGTTTTCGACTGGTGTACTCGGCGTCCTAAATCCTCTCCCACTCATCGAAAGTGGTCCCGAAAGTGGTCCCAAATGACGTCACAAAAGCCGTCGTGCCATGCTGTCGGATGTCGCGATCCTGTCGGTGGTAGTAGCTACGAGTCCCGGCACGGGCCGTCGTCAGGCGGAAATCGGGGACCACTTTTGATGACGTGGTCAACACACCGGACGGAGGCGCCTTCCGTGGACCCTACCGTACCAGTATGTTTCCAGCAATATGGAAGGAAGCCATAGTTGTGCCCATTCATAAAGCTGGTGATGCTGGTATATTGTATCAAATTACCGTCCTGTGTCACTACTGTGTGGTTTTGCTAAAGTATTTGAAACCATTATGCAAGAATGTCTTTTCTCTCATTTATCTAAGTATCTGACGCTGCAACAACATGGTTTTATTAAAGGGCGCTCTGTCGAAACTAACCTTTGTACTTTTCTACACTACGCAGCCCCGGTCGTTTCAAACCCAGGGCAGGTTGACTCGGTATATTTCGATCTTACAAAAAGGCTTTCGACAAGGTTGACCATGCTTTGCTTGTACATAAATTGAAACAATATGGTTTCCCCCCTAAACTTTGTGAATGGGTTTATAGTTACTTGTCATCGAGGAAAAATTTTGTTCGAGTTGATACTGTTTTATCTAATCCGTTTTTCCCAACTTCAGGCGTATCCCAGGGGTCAGTGTTGGGGCCACTGTTGTTCCTGGTATTTATAAACGATATTTTAAAGTGTGTAAAGTTTGCTAAAGTGCTTTTATTTGCCGATGACATTAAGTTATTCTCAAGTATTTGTTCTGAAAAAGATTGTGATGCGTTACAGTCTGATGTTTTGAGTATTTTGCAATGGTGCTCATCCAACCGTTTGCCTTTGAATATAAACAAAACTAAAGTCATCTCGCTAACTAGACGTAAAAATCCCTTACATTTTAAGTACACGTTGGGAAACTGTATTATTACTCGAACTGATATGATCAGGGACCTCGGGGTGTTAGTTGATTGCAAACTGACGTTCAGTTCTCATGTAACTACTATTTGTGGTACCGGGTTCAAAATGCTTGGTATGATCTCCCGTTTGACTCAGCACTTCCAAGCACCTGAGGCCATATTACGTTTATTTTGTGCTCTGGTCAGGCCCAGGCTCGAATTCGCTTCTGTCGTGTGGAACCATTTAACGGACACTGAATGTAGACGTATTGAAGCGGTGCAAAGGCGTATGGTTCGCATAGTCTATGATCGATACGTCCACAGGAGACTTTACTTCGACCACCATTCTCTGCTCAAGATTTTGAATCTCAGCACTTTGGATGACCGAAGGCATTGCCGAGATGCGGCTTTTCTACAAAAGCTTATCCAGGGTGTAATTGACGTACCTGACCTTTTGGGCAGCATAAAGTTACGTGTGCCAACGAAATTCACGCGACAGTGCGACATGTTCTACCCCGACATGCGATCAAAGGAGTCACCACTCTATCGTATTCAGACATCATGCAACCTCCTTGTCCAGCACGATTTTTTTTTTTCATGCCTTAATTTGCCTTTAACACCTGATGTGTATTTTATGTACTTTGTTACGACTGTTTTATTATGCTGACTGTTCTAATATGACTATTGTGATTTCCATATGTTTGCATGTTTCATAGGAATCTGACTTCTGTGCACCAATGTCAAAACCATTATGGTGTTTTTGGGCACGCAATAAATAAATATCAATCAATCAAAAAAATACCTCTACAAACGGTATTTCATGTCAACGTGAGAATAATCAAGCGGGGAAGCTTGGCCGCGGGACGAGAGGTTCGTAAAATATATCGGCTCCGCGTCCGGGATGCCTTCGAACGACACACCTCTACGTGAACGACGACCGACAGCCACCGACCGCGTCGATGTCGGGCTGTGAATGAACTGCGCGCCGATGTTGTACACTACAAAACAAAGAGTATGAAAACGTTGTCTGTCGCCGTGGAAGTTACCCAGACGCGTGCGCGAGCGTCATCTTTTCGCTCTGAAATTATGGCGAGCAGTATGCGCGTACACATACACGTTCCACCCAGAAGTGGCATTTGTGTTCGAATATCTGAAAAAATAAATAAAAGTCTGGGCTCTGAGTGCAGGAAATACGTCACAGGCGACGTCACTTCCGCCTCCCGGGTTATTTATTTCGTGGCGACGTTTTGCGGGCTGGTTTGGATTGTGTCGGGAAAAGTCGGGCGATTGCGCTTTGCTCGATCGCGGAGCTGTTTTCACACTTCTGGAGGGCGCAAAAGCGTGTCCCCGTGATTTCGGACGAAGCTTCGAACCATTTTGGCAACAGCGATTTTTGACCACCCAAGATAGAGTGTCGTTATACTCGCACAAAAGAAGTTCTGCAGAGCTGACACTTTCCGAGGCGTCCTTGTACGACGGCCCAGTCACCGTACAAAAACACTGCCTGCAGCGAACAACCCGTCTTTTATGTGATGTATGAGCAACGGGAATGCGGCTTTAGTGGCTCTAGCCAACACCCTAAAACATTTGCGCACATGTGAACGTTACATGTAACTTCCCTAAGTGATAGGCTCAATTGTCAACGCGATGGAACTTTTTTTTTTTTTTTCGCGCAAAATTTTTGCGTATTATTAAATCCGCTACAAAAAAGGCGCCAATTTTTCTTTTATAGGACGCCATTAAGAGCTCCAGCAACCAATGAAAGCGACTCATATTTATCTGACATAGACCATCATTCCTCTTCTTTTTTTTTTTTTCCCCTGGAAGGCGGGCGGCCCGGCCAAACTAAGAACAAAGACTTCCAAACAAAGGATTCTGAAAGAAGAAAAAAAAAAATGCGCCGTCATCGCAGCAGCAGTAAGAACAGCACTATAGTTTCGTTAAAATAAAATAAAATTCGAAGCAGAAAAAAATTGTTAGACAAAAGGTACCCGTTGTAAAAAAAAACTGAACAAAAAAAAAAAAGAAAAAAAGTGAAAAGACGAGCAAACAGAGCAGCAGCAGAGTGGCTGGATGTACAGTACGTGCGTCACTTTCGCAGTTTACTCGGCACGTCGGCAAAGTGCGCCGTCCGCCCGCCCGCCATCCAAACAATTCAAAGAAGGTGTGTGAGCTCTCTCGCAGCACCCCCCCCCCCCCCCCCCCCCCTCCCCCGACGGCTTTTAATGGAGCGCATCGAAGCCCCCATTGTCTTCCCTGACAATGGTCGGAGGACACATAGGTACACAGCCAGCCAACCAACTAGCCACAGAAAACAAAAAAAAAAAAAGAAGGAAGATACGCTGCATACCACAGGCCCGATAGTGACCCGTCGCCGAGAGCTCCTCCAAGCCGATAGCGATTGCTGACGCGTACAAAAAGAAGTACCATAGAAGGCCGAACTCATCTTTTAGTCACTGCCCCGGGACAGAAGACAAAAGAAATCCTTCTTCTCTTCCTAGACCAACAATCAAAAGCGGCGAAAACGTTTGGAAGAAGTCTTTGTTCCGGAAAGAAGTTTCGGATGGTTCGGCGGTAAAAAAGAGTGATTTGAACACGGGGAAGACTCGGCGGTAAGAATGCCCGCCAAACCAAGAAAACAAAACAGTTACTCTAGGGCGGGTAAGCCATTATGCGGGTTAACGGCTGCGAGTCACGTTTGAGTTGTGAGGGAAGAAAATAAATAAATAAAAGATGAGCTATAATAAGGCGCGGAACATCCGTACGCACGTTGCTGCCTCCATTTTCTTTTTGCTTTCTCCGCCCATCACCATCGAACGAACGCGGAAACCAAGGAAGGAAATTGACGCGAAGGAATGAACGAATGTTTTCCGGTGCAAACGGAACCAGCATCAGGAATAGTGTAACATTCCAAAAAGATTACTTTCCCGTCCTTACACCGTGCTTTTCCAAAGCACAGCTTTCGGACAGCCAATCGCAGCGATTAACAAAGTAGGCAAGTCAACCCACACACTTCCGACCAGACAACGCTACACTGGCGCCATCTGTAGGGCGGCCCTGACCTACTTCCGATCTTTCCCGAACTATAACCGAAGATACTGCAGTTCTCCCGAGGTCAAATGAACGCATTATCTATGAGACATGGTCGCTTATAACATTGACCAAATTATTTCGAGTCCGTAGTAAAAACTAATTGCGTAAGACTTACTACATTTGGCAATACATTTATGATATTCTGCGTTAGTGCTCAGTCACTCATTCTTTTTAGAAAGCAACTTTGCACTCCATAGCCATTTTGGCACGTTTCTTTGAAGAAGCGGTTTTATTCCTTTACATATTTGTATAGTAGAGCAAAATAAAACGGCCGCCGAATATTTAGCGCTCTGCCTGCGTATGCCATTCCTTACACTTCTGTTTGCCTTTCAGAGCTATTTCATTTTCTCGGAACCAAAAAGTACTCACGGCTCATTGGTTACCCAAAATTAGACCCCGACGAATCAGTGACGCACGCGGCTGAATCAGACGACTGTTTTGTTTCGTCTTTTACCTGTTGCCAACGTTGGCCATTGCGCAACCGAACACGACGCGAGTCACAGCTGTTTATAAATGTCCGTCAGTGTCAGCCCAATCTCACGATCAGACCCTCGACTACAGCTGGGGCTCCCCGACCCCCATCCTAGAAACCACACCTGGGCAGTTACACCGAAACGCGATGCGCGGCATTGAGACGCTTCGAATACCGACACGTTCCATTGTCGTGTTTGTTTGTTTTTAGTTACCGACGCAGACGACGGACTCCCATCTCCGGTCAAGGGTCGTCTCCTTCGCTCGCTCGCTCCTCCCAGCGATGTCGGTAGTCACCCGCGACGTCATCCAGGCGTCCCCGTTCGTCATCGAACCATAGTAATCCCTTCGGAGCACGGACACACACAGGATCCACCAACACCGCCGCCGCTTTTCGCTTTGCCGTGAAACGCAGACGACAGAAAAAGACCGACCGACCGGACGACCGTTGCTGCGTGTATGTAAAAACGATCCGGCAACAATCCAAGTCCCGTGATATCCCCTCCGCCTGTCGTCGTCTGCAAAAATCGGCAATGTCTTTCTTTTTCTTTTTTTTTTTTTTCCTTTTTTTTACGCATGCGCCGTTACGTTCCCACGGCACGCGGACGGTCTCGCCACCTGGCGTCCTCGGCCAGAACTTGGCAGACACTGATTAGAGTACATTTATACGCTCTTCAATCCCGATGATTAGATAACACGTCGTGTCTCATTGTGTATCTGTTCGTCGCGAAAGAAAAATAAATAAGCTCGAACGGACCAGGTTAGATGGAAGAGTTCCCGGCAGGCAGTAAGAAGAGTGCTGGCTTATCTGATTGGCTGGCTCCATTACGAACGCGCACGTCAAGTTGACGCGTCCCGGATTCTTTATCGCGAATTATCTGATCAGTGATTTTACATTTGGAGAGTCATGGTTGGCCGGGTGGATGGATAAATACTCCTGAGCCCTTCAAACCGGGAGGCGGCTCGTGCCACGAAGCTAAAACTTTAAATCAGAGCACGGCACAGGGCGCCGAAGTGTGGGATGCGGTGAGTTTGCGAACTAAAGCTCATGTAGTGCAGCTAACCACATAGACACACGCAAAGGTTACCCCGCTGGCAGCGTTATCGGGGAAACTGCAGCTGGCCCCATTGTTAGAACGCTCCCGCAGCTTACCGCACGAGCTAACAACAATAACAAAACAAGCAAAAAAAAACAAAAAAAAACACGTTTGCGAAAAAAGAAACAGTAAAAACAACACAATACCAAACACGTTATCAAGGACATTGAACGAGAGGGCCTTATCGTTAATTGGTCAGGCCGCGAAGAATCGGAAGCACGGAGCTTCCGAGGTTAGTCATTTCCACTCACGAAACGGCCCCCCAAAGGCACGCGGAAGTGGAGGTGCCATGAATCAAAACCTGGCCAGAGGGCGCATCGAACAGAAGTGCCGTTCGAAGGAAGCAGACAAACACACATGGAGAGATATAAATCGACCTCCTAATGAGGACTGGAACAATGGCGGATGGCAGCGGGAGTATTGGACCGCTCCGGGTGACTCGCTTCGGCGTTTCGCACCAACTACCACGCTAATAAACTCGCAGTACGGTGGACCACATCATGTTCCAGTCGGCAAGTGGCACTCATGAGGAGATGACACCCTTTAGGCTATAGAGTCACGCGAGTTACTATCGTTAGAGTTACGATGGTAAGAGTTACGACGATAAGGTGGTTAGAGTCGCGATTGTTAGAGTTACGATGGTAAGAATTACGAAAGTAAGAGGGTCAGAGTACGGTGAACAAATTTACGGTGGTTAGACTTGCGACTGAAGTTGCGATGGCTAGAATTCAAATTAATTTATTTTATAATTTTAACACGTATATGGGGGTGGGGGGGGGGGGGGGGGGGGGAGAGAGAGCAAAGGCAAAAAGCAAGGTCTTGATAGCTTAATGGTTTTAGTTACGATCATCATAGAGTTACGATGCTTAGCGTTATGGTGGTTAGAGTTTGTGGCTAAATCGAGTAGGTTGCCAGCTGCTGCTGCCCGTTAAAAGGCGAACACCGTTTATGTAATTTAACGACCGCGACGGCCTCCGTCCGTTCCACTGAAGCTTTCGCCTCACTGATCACAAATCCGTAATCAATTTAATTACTGCGTGCGCCGTGTGAACTTTCTTTTGGGGTGTTAATAATGATGTAGACGTTCACAGACGCTACATTTTCATCCGGTTTGCAGACGACCAATCAGAAAGCCATATAGCAGACAATGGATTTTTTCCCCGGTTTACAGGCGAGCAACCAAATAAAATTCCAAACAATGTTTTTTTTTTCTTTTTTTTATATTGTTAGCTTTTGAAGGGCTATTAGAGGAGTAGTACTGTTCTAAAAAAGGAAATCCTTTATGCACACAATGAAAAACAAACCATCAATTCATGCAAACAGATTGAAAATCATAAATTCATGGCATATTCTCGCTACGCTATTCACGTCTTTCACGAAATCACGAACTTTTGTTAAAATTACGGTTTCATTAGAAAGTTTATTCTAATCTCTAATGACCCCCGAAAAGAAACCATAATTAAAACAGTCATTTTTAACGGCTGGTTCCCTAATACATGCTATGACGGTGTCGCGTACATTCCCCAAAGCGCACATCCATGGTATTTGTTAAAAAAGGAAACCTGGATGCAAGCCGTTGGACTTCATCGAGTTCTGACAAATTTATTACTAATACTGTATATGGATCCCATATTATTTTTGCATATTCGAGAACAGGTCTCACTAAAAGTTTGTAAGAGTTTTTTTTTTTTTTTTTTTGGCGAGGCATTTGAGATTTTTTTTTAAGATACCAGAGTGTCTGATTCGCTTGCGTGGGTGTATTTTCGACGTGAGTATTTCATCGTAAATCACTCGTGGACGTTTTCTAAATACTTATTTTTGTCTACACGGGCTAGTTTGGCATCACCTATGCAATAATCATAATTTAATAATTTTTCTCGGTATTGATAAAAAAAAATTGCGAGGGGTTCGAACTATTTGCCATTTCCCGGTTTGCAGACGATTAATTCGAAGAGCAGGCCAAATCGCTCCTGCGAAAACTACTCATCGCATCGAAAAAAGGCTTGTGTCGTTTTGGTCCTGGGCCAGGGGCCTATTTAGGAAAATTATTAAAGTCAGGGATAATTAAGTTGTTAATTATTTTTGCGTAATTAACTTTTTGAATATCGTGTTTAAGGGCATGGTTTCAATTAAAAGATTGCTCAGCATCATCAACAAAAAAATCAACAAATTGCAGAACAATAGAAGGCACGCGCACCATTTTACGGCTTTCTGAAAAACCGCACAAAATCGACGGGTTTTTAAGTTTCGGTTTGCTATCGGAGCGCATTTCGGCCCCGACGGCACCGCGCCCCGTGGAGAGATAGTGCAACCAGCCTCTGCTGCGTTGCGCGAGGACAGCGCAGCAGAAGTTGGTCTATTGTTCTGCAATTTGTTGATTTAGTAAGTTTTTGGATGATGCTGAGCAATCTTCTAATTGAAGGCATGCCCTTAAACGCAATAATAAAAAAAGTTAATTACGCAAAAATAATTAACAACTTAAATAGCTTGGACTTTAATAATTTTCCTAAATGGGCCCCTAAACCAGGACCAAAACGACACAAGCCTTTTTTCGACGAGATGAGTAGTTTTCCCAGGAGCGATTTCGCCTGCGTTCCCTGAAACACCCTGTTATATATACATGTATATATATATTTTTTTTGTCAGGTTGCAGACGACGTCTCTTTTGCCCGGATCGCAGGCGCCAAATGAGAATTCAGAAGGCCGTCGCGGCCAAGGCAACGCACGCGATGTCCCACGGGAACAAAGAAGCGCGCGGCGACTAAACAACGCCGGTGACGCGATCAACCACACACCCCCACAAGAGCCGGAACTTTGACCCCAATCAGAAACAACGGAAGGATGCTGCGGCCGGGTTGTACACAGGCGCCGAATACATGCGCGTCAAAAAGGAATCTCGGCGGCCATGATCTCATTAAGAGCAGTAATGGGATTCCAGTGGCAGATTCGATTACCTGCCTGCCCACAACCCTTTCCCACTTCTGCCTACGTTGCTGTTGTTGTTCTCACAGTCAAATACAAATACTAAAAAAAGGCAGCCAAAAACAACGAGATGTATGATCGATAGAAAGCCGTCAACTGTACACAGCGTTGCGGCAATACCAGCTACAAGACAAGGCTTGGTCATGACGTCATCTTTAGTGGCTCCCCAACCCGCCCCAAGTGAAAAAAAGAAAAAAAAAAAGTTTACGTCGTCCGGTTTGGCGTCGCCTCGTCTGGTATTGGCTCTTGTTGATCTTTTTGGCCTTTTTATTATTACTAACGAGGCGGGGAGGGAAGCTATCAGCCGGACTTACCAGTTTCGTCGGCATCCGACTTGGCTTTAACCTCTTTTTCCGCATGTCTTTTCCATTCCTCATCCGAAGTTGCTCAGTCCGCCATGTTACGACACCTGAAAGAAAGGATTCGCGAAAGATCAAACGACCTGGCATCGAAAGATATACGAGACACACACACAGAAACAAACACGCAAACACACACACATACACAAAAGAAAGCTAACAAAGAAAACATTGGTCAAGCTACCCGAATACATGTGCAAACATTAGGGAATTCTAGGACAGGGGAAAAGGGGGGGGGGGGGGGGGCAACGTCTGCGGGGTTTTAACAGATTAGAACACCCAAAGCGTCGGGCATATTCTACCGATTGTCCCGAGTAAAAATCCAATGGTCAGGCAGTAAATACTGTGTTCACTGTGTGAGCCACATTTAAATATCGTTACCACGGAGATCGCAAAGCTTGATGTAAAACAAGTTGATACGAAGTTAAAAAAAAAAAAAATGCTCGGAGGCAAAGGCAGAAAATGATGCAAACAAAAAAAGATTACGACTAGACCAATAAAAAAACAAAAACGAGACTTAAGAAGGTAGAGGGCTAATTCTGCCGCCGTAGCCAACACGCCCGCAACAAAGGCCACCCAAGTAAAAAAAACAGAAAGGTCTAGTCAAATTTAGACACCGCAACAGTTTCTCTTCAATCCGTTTAGCCGATCACTCCGCGAGATAAGGGAGAGCAAACGAACGGGGAAAAGTGTACCTCGGTTCATTAGCGGACGACGAAACCCGTCTCTGGCCCGCACCGTTCCACTCCGTAGCCCATTGTTTTCGAGCTGATTAGTCATCTTACTGAATTTTAAAACGGAGGCCTGAATTACACACTACGCCGGTGAGAGCGGCGCGCGGGTGGCTCTTGTACGCTCCGCACGGAGAGCCATACTGACAAGCAAATTGAAACGAATGAAACTATGTATATATTCGATCGCCCAACGCGCTGTTTCTAAACAAGCCGGAGTTTTCCCACACCAAGCGTTGGCACTGCGCGAGCTGCCCGGGCATTTTATTATCTACTAGCCAATGAGCTCGCAGCGTTAGACAACGAGAAAACCGGGAAATGAAT